AAGGTCTTTTCCAACCTAAACGATTCTATGATTCTACTCTTCTACTTACCTTTGGAGTTGGCACTGTGTTCAGAGTTACAGGTAAGTAGCTGTGATTAACCCAAGTGCTCAATGTGGAGGATGCTTGAAAATTTCCCTTGCATTAATAATATGTAGCATATACAGAGATGATTTTAAAATGAAAGTAGGAGTGAAAGATAACAAGAAATCATGAAACTGACCTTCCTGTGATGGGAATGGAAGAACTGTGGCACTTTTTCTCTTACGTTGGTGAAGAATGTGTGACAGGGAATGCATGAGTTTAGGCATGGAAGTGACTAAGTGTTGTGCCAATGTCCGCCATGAACACTGTAGAAGATCAGAACAGAATGGGCTGTTGATAACACTTTTTTTCTGATTGTCTCTGCTCTTGCTTGTACCAGTCTCCTTATTCCATTTCAAGCATGCTTATTCTTTGGCTTTCTTTATCTTTCCAGTAGTTTTATCATTCTTTCTTTCTGCCTTTTTCACCTGCCTTCCTCTTTGTCTTTTTTTGGTTTAGTCCATTAAATCTCTCTCATTTTTCTCTTGTGTCCATGTCTTCATTCATTAGCCATTTAGTCTATGAGCCAATGAACTTATGTCACAGATACTTTTAGGATAGGAAAAAAAATCACAAAGCCAAGTACTAGAAAGAAGCAGTAAAAGTGATCAACCTCTCCTCATTTCCACTGGAAGGAAAGCAGAGCAGTGCCAAACCTTCTAGGGAGTTATCTCCATTACTATCCAGTTACGTCTTCTGAAGTCTGTACAAGTTCACACGGTTTCACAGAAGCACCCCAGGGATCTTTGTAGAGTAAGCACTGACAATCATGATTAAGGTTAACAGTTGAAAGCAAACACTAGGGCTTAGGGGTCAAGATCTATGCAAGACAAAAGTTTCTGATAATTCTGCTAATTCTCTCCGCTTTAGAAAAGAGGGAGTGATGAAGAACATGTACAATTTATAGTGCCTTCATACCCTCCAAAAAAGTAAAAGTTTTCTCTTTGGATCCATAGTTCTCTCTGCATTTCTGTTTCCATGTACACTGTGCAGACCTGGCGGGTTTATCATACTAGATGAGTAAAAAAGGCACTCTAATAAAGTATGCAGGGAAAAAAAAAGGTGTCTTTTAGGGTCACTGCCTAGCTTCTGAATAACGTCTCATTGTTGCCTTGTACATCCTTTTGACTGTAGAAGTCTGTTGTCTTCAGTCTTATAGGCAGGTATTAAACACTTTAGGACAGGGGACATCTTTTGGTTTGTGAGTGTATAGAATCTTGCATCATTTTGGGCAGATTTATGGTCTAGGATGAGGGCTTCTCATACCTAGGATAACCTAAATAATAAATAACATAAAGCGATATTTCATAGCCTTAAAAAAGGATGGCAAGTTAAGACCTAAAGCAAAACTTGTCCCAGGGAGATTGAGGTTACCCACCTAAAGTGTTCTTCACTTCAGACAGTGAGAAAGATTAACTCCTCCCTTTCAAGTCACCTCTTAGATGGAGGGGTCCAAGTAGGGTATCACATGGCAGTATAATTCTGGACACTGCAATAACCATCATGTCTTACTACACCTCCAGGAATGTAATGCAGTCAGTTGAAGATGCTTGTGCCTTATAACACAGACTCTTACCTATTGGTAAAATATTACAAATACAGGCCTTATAGCACTACTGGGTACTTCTCTGCCTACCTGTTTGCCTAGCTTCTTTTCAGCTTTGCTGTTCTGACAGAGACAATACTAGAAATTCAAACACTCATGCATTTCTGTAGCCAGACCTTTTATGTTTCTGTGTAATGAGTGAAGACAAATGCTTTCAGTTTCCTGGTGTCTACCTATTTAATAGATATCAATCGTCTAATACACAGTTGTTAAAAGGCCAGATATATCTGGAGTCACACAGCACAAATACAGTATAATTTTAAGGGGTTTCTGACTGAAGACAGTAATGGAGGCTCTGGGCCATATTGCTTTCCGTTTCAGGGAAGAATGATGAAATCCTACCTCCAGCTGTGGCCATCTTTTCCCCATCAAAGCAAGAGATCCAACAGAAGAGCAAGGCCACACTGGTATGCTTGGCCTCTGGTTTCTACCCTGACCACCTGAATCTGGTCTGGAAGGTGAATGGTGTTAAGAGGACAGAAGGGGTGGGGACAGATGAGTTTTCCACATGGAATGGGACTACCTACTCATTGACCAGCCGACTGAGGATCCCAGCCCAGGAATGGTTCAACCCTTTGAACCGTTTCGAGTGTGTTGCCAATTTTTTTAAGAACAAAACACTGGAATCGATACACAAATTAATCTACGGTGATGCTGGTGAGTAAAAAATGTGTATCACTATGCTGTACAAACTAGAAATCACAAATCAAAAGGCTGTGGGTTATGATCTGAAACACATCTATATACAACTTCTATACAGGCTGTTGTTATGGCACAAATATATATGTAAATATGTAGGTATTTGCATGTGTCTTCATATTCATGGGCCTGTGTATCTGCATTATCATTATAGATCTACAGTTTTTTAAAAGGTTTCTTCAGATTTTCACTGAGAAATCTCTGTAGTTTAGTAAAATATATAGTATAGTAAAATCAATCAGGTAGTAAATTGTAAACTGAAACTTCTAAGATTTGTGTTCTGTTTGCATTGAAGAGAAACATGACTTTCAGTTCATTTTTGTCCTTCAGGTTGTGCACTCACGGAAGGTATGTGTGTCTTCTCACAGGGAAATATCTGTACACATTTTAATTCCAGTTTTACTGACTCTAAGTACAAGGTGTGTGAGATTTCTACTACAAGAATAGCTTCTACTTCCTCATCTAAGTGGTTTGTAAGTTAGATTAAAAAAAAAGAGAAAAAAAGTCTTTGGGAGGGTTGTATGTACATGCTGTATGTAGCTGTGTTTTGGGTTTTTTAGCTCTTGTTTATGATTCCCTTTCAAAATAACAGAAGAATTTGTGGAACCTTCCTATAGAGTATAATTTGCTCTTTTTATCATCTCCTCCAGTACTTAACACTGCCTTCTGTTGGAAAGCTTCTTGCTCAGCCATGAAAGAAAAAAATCATACTTAGCCAAGTGATTATGACATCAAGATTCAGAATCTGTAATTCTGAATATTTCTTAGTATCAAATTCAGAATTCTTCTCATTACAAGTCACATACCCCTCCAAACTGTGAGGATGCCCATATTAAAAATTATGTTTCTTTCCTTTATGTATACATATTTACACACTCTTGTTTTCACCAACTTCTTCAATGTTTCAGTAATCTTAAGGCTGAACCAAGATCAGGCTGGTGTCTCAATACTACTGCAATTCCTTAAGAGTGAAAAGTCTATAAGAATAAAAGATACCATGTTATTCTGGGCTATGTAAAACTTCCCTGATATATCAGCAGCACTCACAAAGCCACTGACAATAACGAGTGAAAAAAAATTGTGTCTTGTGATTCAGGTTAATTTGAGTTCCAAAGAGGGGATTCACATGAACAGCCTAGTTTTTCAGTAGGTGTGGCAACACAGTGGTTAAACAATCCTGATCAGGACATACTTTCTTAGCATAAAGCCAACCTCTGTCTTTTCTAGACTCACTTTGTCTTTTGGTTCTTTGAATCACAGTGTTCTTTCCCACCCCCTGCTATCTCGTGTCAACAGAACCATTCATTTTGTTCTAGTTCCTTTGTGTCACTTAGCTAAAGATTTCAAGGGTTCTTATTTGATTAAAGCTACATTAGATCTAGTCTCTCATGATGATGCTAATTCAATACAGAAATGATGTTTGATTTGCAGAGTCCTACTTGCGGTATGGAAATTCTCTGAAGCTCACTTACCTCATTCTCTGTGGCAAAGCCTTGCTCTATGCAGTTTTGGTGAGCAGTCTGGTGTGGACAGCCAAGGTAGGCTAGTGTGCTGCTTGAAGATTGAGCTTATTCACTAGAACAAGGATCAGTGGATACAAACTAAATCTATTCTCAGCTGTGTGTTTGTTCTCCATGTGCTCTGCCAGGCTTTGTGCAGGCTAGTTTGAAAAATCATAAGTGACGAGTTTTCTATTATTGTTTTTCCAGAACTCAAATAAAATCAGTGCTGTCTAGCAGAGCAATCCCTTCTCAAAACAATCTTTAAACACATGGAAAAAGATGAGAATTAAGGACAACTTCTCCAGAAAGTAAAGAAGGGAAATATCAGATATATCATACTTTTTTGTAAGCATTGAAAAGGGACTCATGCCTGCAGTGAAAGTAATAAGCAGGGTGTTTGAGGAGATACATGGGATAAATCTGAAAAAACAAAGATTTATACAGATTTACAAAGAACAATGGGATAAACCTGAACAAGTGGGAGAAGTTTAACTAACTACCACAAAATACTTTTTATCAGTGTTTCTCATATGGCTGAAAGATATTCCTAGTGACAGTAGTGCAAGTCTCAGCACTTGTTTCTTTAAAAGCAGGACTGGGAGATGTATTTGAAAAGTGGCCTGGTGGAGTTCAGAGTATGAACGCAATCTCAATTATGTTTTTGTGTCCTTTTTCAAGGATACTAGAGGGAGGAGGTTCATACTTTACTCGATCAAAATTGTAGAATCACAGAATGGTTTGGGTTGGAAGGGACCTTTAAAGATCATCTGGTCCAACACCCCTGACATAAGCAGGGACATCTTTCACTAGATCAGGTTGCTCAAAGCCCTGTCCAACCTGACTTTGAATGCTTCCAGGGGTGGGACATCCACAACTTCTCTGGGCAACCTGTTCCAGTGTCTCACCACCCTCATCATAAAAAATTTCTTCTTTATATCTATTCTAAAGCTACCCTGTCTCAGTTTAAAACCATTGCCCCTAGTCCTGTCACTACAGGCCTTGGAAAAAAGTATCTCTCTATCTTTCTAATAAGCCCCCTTGTACATTGAAAGGCCGCAAGAAAGTCTCCCCAGAGGCTTCTCTTCTCCAGGCTGAACAACCACCACTCTCTCAGCCTTTCTTCATAGGAGAAGTGTTCCAGCCCTCTGATCATTTTTGTGGCACTCCTCTGGACCTGCTCTAACAGGTCTATGTCTCTCTTGTACTGGGAACTCCACCAGAACTGGATGCAGTACTCCAGGTGGGATCTCACCAGAGCAGAGCAGAAGGGCAGAATCGACCTGCTTGCCATGCTTCTTTTTATGCAGCCTGGGACACCGTTGGCTGTCTGGGCTGCAAGTGCACATGGCCAGCCGAGAGACAATTTTTCATCCACCAGTATCCCCAAGTCCTTCTCCACAGAGCTGCTCCAAGCCACTCATACACCAGTCTGTACTGATCCTGGTGATTGCCCCAACCCAGGTGCAGGACCTTGCACTTGACTTTGATGAACTTTATGATGTTCATATGGGCCCACTCCTCAAATCTGTCCAGGCCCCTCTGGATGGCATCCCTCCCCTCAAGCATATCAACTGCACCTCTCAGCTTGGTGTCATCCACAAACTTGAGGTGGATGCATTCAATCCCACTATCAATGACACAGTGATGAAGGTATTAAACAACACTGGTCACAATATAGACCCCTAAGGGACACCACTCATTACTAGTTTCCATTTAGACATTGCACCACTGACTGTAACTCTTTAGGCATGGTCACCCAGCCAATTTCTTATCCATCTAACAGTCCATCCATCAAACCCATATCTCTCCAATTTAGCAGCAAGACTGTTGTGGGTAACCTTATCCAAGGCCTTACAGAAGTCCCGGTAGATGACGTCCGTAGCTCTTTCCTTGTCCACTGATGCAGTCACTCCATTACAGAAGGCCACCAGATTAGTCATCTAACATACAAAGTTGTGTGTAAAGATACTAGTTCAGTATGTAAGTAAATAATTTGTACAGGTTAAGACACTTCCTTGGTACAAAAAGGGGAGAAAGCATGGAGATACAACATGGTCATTTCTGTTAATGCTCTCAGGAGATGCAACAGTTGGGAAAATGATAAATATGGTCTATTATTTCCTAGATTATTGCATTTGTTCCTTTTGCTTGTTTGTTTTTTCATTATTATTTGTTTATTCTGTTTTGTTTTCAATTAGGCTGGTGGCAAGTTGTATAGAGAATAAATGAAGAGCCCTCTTCATCACATCCGCTTTTTTTATACTTTCTACCTTTCCATAGCAAAGGATCTATGCTTCTGTCTAACAACTTCTGAGTATTATTTCTTGGTGGTTCTCTGTCCCCCTCCTGTTCCTTCCACTTTGTTGTAATCACTGCTGGGTTTTCTCTGTACTTCCATATCATATTGTATCATATCATATTGTATCATATCATATTGTATCGTATCATACAGTATCGTACCTTTAAAACTAACACCTTCTTAATGCTCAGAGGCTGAGGACCCAGCTCCTTGATTTAGGAATAAAGTTTTAGCTTCTTTTCCATTCAAGAAGCATGAGTTGTTGGTTTTTAATTTGGTCTTTTTTAGTAATAATGTCCTACAACACAACTTCCAGTGATGCGTAGTATCATAAGGAACTTGCATTAAAGAACATTCACTGACAATCCTTATAGGAGTAGCTTATCTGTTATGAGAACAGATAAGAAGGCTCATCCAGTACTTACACTGTGTACCAGCAACTGGAGTGGGGCTGCAGGTTTCAGACACTTGCACACTCCAGTACCAGCAACTGGGAGAGTGAGCATCCAGGGCCAGCTAGCAAGCAGACTACATGTCTAAGGCTAGTTTCTGGGAGAGCCATAGTGTGTAAGTGTGGGTCCCAGCATGTGTGGGGGTGTGTGAGGTAACTGGAGGACCAGGGAGTTCAGGGCCAGTTGCTGGGTAGACTGCCTAAGGCCAGTTACTGGGACCCAGTGTATGTGCGGGTGCGCACGTGCACATGTGTGCAAAGGAGTGCATGAGGGTTTGTATCTGTGAGTGAGAGGGTCTGTACCAGGAAGTGGCATGGGGCTGCAGGCCTCAGGGGCTCTCACATCCAGGTCTGTTAGTGCCATCTGTGTTTGTATGAGTGTCTCTGTCTGTATTGGTTTGTGTGGCTGGCTGTGTGTATACATATATCTGTATTGTGTATGTGTTTGTATGCCTATTGGGAATAAACATGCAGCTTTCCTAGTGGGTGGACCTAGGGAAAGGAAGCTGCAGCAGCCTCACCACTATTGGGCTATTGGATTCAGTTACCCCAAATACAACAGTTAGAACTTACCATTCACTTCTAGCCATCTTAGAGCATTTAGGGCATCAACCAACCCATGCTTACTGCACAGCAGTATTTAGATGGACAGTGGTACATCTTGTCAGCATTAGGAAAAATAGGCTTCCTATGTTTCATCCCAACCTTGTCAATAGTTTTTGTGCCACAGCAGTTCAGAATCTGTGAAGATGGGTCCAATCTTAGACTAAATGAAGAAAAGAAAAATGGGGGTGGAGGGTAGAAGGGGTGATCCTGTGTTTTTACAGTCATAAATTTACTGGGGGCAGAGGAAGGAAAAAAATAGAGGTCTTTAGTCTTTTTTGGTATTGCCTGTAATATCATGCAGCTGGGAAGTATGGAAGCACAGGTCCCATTCATTATTGTGAAATGTAATCCCCACTGCTGTTACAAAAGGGCCTCACTGCTGCCCTTCTCATCACAGAAGCCAAGCACTAAATAGGCCATGAAGACTGAGTTGCTCTTTCGCTCATAGTACAGAAGTTAAAATAAGGGTAAATGCAAATAAATGAAGTTTAGACACTTATTTGGACAAAAGAGAATTTATATATTTCAGAGTGAGAATAAAAGAAAAATAACAAATATATTTTTAACTCCTATACAAAAAGAAACACTGACAGGATATGTGTGAACAGCATTCCATCTGTTGTGTACTCCTGTTTAACACTCACAAGGCTCTTCAGAATGTCATCCTGTACCTTTGCCCACAACCACCCTAATATGTGATTCGGGTGATGCTGGTGTTTTTATATTGCTAGAGGATAAACAGACTGTTCTACTGCATCCAGCATGGAATAAGGATGTGGGATGATGATATCATGTGAGAGATGCAGGAAGGCTGTGAAAAGGAAACTTTGACTACTGTCAAAATGTAACACTGGGAAGAATACTGAAAGTAACAGATCAGAGCTATTGCTGAATGGAGTTCAAAAAGCAAGGGAAAAAGAAGTATTCACATTCCCAAAGGTCAAGAGTCTTGACTGTTCCCATCTTGTGATATCTTTATAGTGACAATAAGGTTGTCCAGACTGGTGCATCTGGCCCAAAAGGAATTGCTCCAGTCCCTACAACATGTCAGAAACACTCCTGAGAAGGATGAACATGTGTAAACAGCTGACGATCTTTGACTATACCCTATGTTAATTGCTTAGAGTGACCTGTACATAATTTAGGTCAATCTTTGCAGTGTTGAAGATGACCCAACCACTCCAGATTACAGAATATCTACACATGGTATGAAAGTTCATCTCGCCTTTATTCTCTCCAACCAATGGAGTCTTGCAAAAGAATAAACTGGATAAATGCCCCTTTTCTTGGAAAAGATAAACTGTGAGCCATCCTCAGGCTGCCAGCAGCTGGCACCAACATGCCAAGGCCTATAACAAAACCAGTTTGGAAGCTAATTTCAAAGCCAACATTTTCATGAGCTCATGTATCTGTCAAAAGGCCAGAAGGGACCATTAAATTATCATTTTGATATTGTCCTGGTTTCAGCTGGAATAGAGTTAGTCTTCTTCCTAGTAGCAGGCATAGTGCTGTGTTTTGGATTCAGTAGGAGAAGAACGCTGATAACACACTGATGTTTTTAGTTGGCCCTAAGTACTGCTTATGCTAGTCAAGGACTTTTCAGCTTCCTGTGCTCTGCCAGGTACACAAGAAACTGGGAGGGGGCACAGCCAGAATAGTTGATCCAAACTGCCCAAAGGACTATTCCATACCATATGACATCATGCTCAGTATAGAAACTGGGGGGGTTGGCCGGGGAGAAGCGATCACTCTTCAGGAACTGTCTGGGTCTCATTCGGCGGGTGGTGAGCAATTGCATTGTGCATCACTTG